TAATTAAAAATGAAATAAAATTTGCACAACTATTTAAGTGAATGTATGTGATGTATATTCAGCGTGTTTTCATTTCTCGTAATTGCGACCTCTAAAATATGACATGAAATGGCCAATTTTGAAATTTTACTCCGCCACGTGATCGCTACGGATGGCCAACATCTTTAAATCCTGATTCAATCATCCTATACTTTTGTGTATTATTTGCAAAAAAATTTGATTAAAATATCTCATGTAGTTTACGAGTTATTAGCTTTTTAAAATAAGACACACTTTCCGCCCACCCTGTATAAACATATTGTGATTTAACACATTTTAATCGAATTCTATTCGGAACTGCAGGAACCGGCCTTAAACATCAATTATTGGACGATATAGCTAACATTAAAGTTGGCCACACATGCGGGTTGAATGCGTTGGCATTACAATCAGCCACACGGCTGTCAACGCCAGTCCGCAGCCAATAGACTCGAGCCGTTGCCGACTTCCCAACACTCACTTCGGCCACAAAGCTATTCAACGCTTCATTAGCCCCGCCAACAGTTACGGCACCGGTTTGTGCGCAGACTTGAGCCGTGTAGCCAAACCGTTGACTCGACGTACACGAAATTGGCTCCCATGTAGTACTGCGAGTGGTCGCTCTATTACTATAGTAACTATACAATTGTTATATTAAAATTACAATTAAATAAACTCAACACTAAAATAGAATACTTTTATATTAAAAATAGCCTAGCCCGTTCTGATTGGTATGGACAGATTCAGTATGGTTTATAGATTTATTGTCGGTCGAGATAATCTGCCCATGGCCACAATTGACCAAATTATAGACACAATTCTAAATAAATAAATAGCATTCAATTAAATTTACGCAACGTTAAAAATATTAAAAAGTTGTGATAAATCGCCCAGAGATCTATGCAGTAGGTTTATGTATTTATTTTGAATTTTGTCAACAAACTCTCTCCTATATATGCTCCTTTTCTATGGTATTAAAAATTTTAACATTTGATTACAGCCTTAATCTACGGTTATGATTAACTTAAAACTTAAATTAATTTTATGGCACTAATTCAATGCTACTCAATTGTTTAATCTATACTTTGTGAAGACCTTGGTGATTTAATAACCACGTCTTATTATTAATAGACCTTATTTATTATAACAATAAACATAAATGAGACCAACGCTAAGTCGATGTGTCTAATGTTAAATTATTAAATAAATTTTACATTAATTATTACTAAACTATATCATCCACGAGATTTTATTTGCGTTTTAAAAAATAACACGTTTATATAAATAATAGTTTACTTGTCAGTATTATAGTATATTAGATTTAAATAATATTATTTGGTTTAAATAACAATTATATTTTTAATAATAAACAAAATATTAAGAATAAAATTTTCATTACTTTTTATTTGATAAAAATTGATTGAAATAATTTGTTTTATATGGCAATGAATAACAGTTAATAATAATAAAAATTTTAATTATAAATATACTAATATTTGAATGTATGTAAAGATATAACTTTATAACTTAAACACAACAGATGGCTGCATAACAGGCGGACCCGGAGAACAACTGTTACCGGTGTTTGTGAAGTGATAAAAATGATAAGACGAATGGGAATCGAACTCACGATCTACTTATGAAAACTTTTTTAATAAAAAAGCCTGCTTTCCATGCCATCATTCAAATGCGCCACTGAAGGTTTCATTAAATTACAATTACTTAAACAACTTATAAACTAATGATATCCCTATCATACCATTTGATTTACAATACAGGCGCCAAACACTCCCGAAACATACGGCGATTGGAGTCTCAGTAATGAACAACAATTAATTTCAAACGGGAATAAATTATTTGAATTGACATTACTTTCTATGGTTTAGTCTCAGCGGTGGAGAGTCTGAAGAGGACGCGGTCTAACAGTTGGTCCGATTTGGCCGACAACGAGGCCCTCATCACTGGTCTAGTCAACAGCGCTAACAACAATCATAATCATTACTTTACCCAACAGTTAGAGCTCAAGACCCACCAAAACAACTTTAAGTAAGCCTTCAAATGTAGTAAATTTAATGTAAATCTAATACATAATGATCACATTGTCTGCTTCGGTGGTTAACAGGATTTAGGAGCCGAAGCTATAGTTCCCGAACTACTGCTATAATACATTACACATTATATAAATACATCATAATTTGTTTAATAAATATATGTATAATTTGTATTACAATAGTATTTTTAATAATGTTTTTTACAATCTATAATATAGATATTCATAATAATATACATAATATAGATATGTTTTTTATACTTGATGTATACTGTAGTGATAATAAATATAATTACTATTAAAATGATGTAAATTATCGATGTTCAACGTACTTACTATTAGTAAGTTGGAGTAGTAAAGCCAAGTGTCATCTCAATATTAAAATTATATTTTAATGATTAAATTATGAATTATTAATCACTAAAATGAATGCATATATTAAACACATATTTTGGAAAACATACATATAAACAATTCTAACATATTTTTGATCTACTTTTAATTGTGAACAATTTTTCTCTCTAATGAATTGCTTAAAATGACAAAACTGGTAATATTTGCGCAAATTAAGATCACGTTTTAAAATATGGTCATCAAATATGATTGAATCAAATATTAATAAAATTGTTGATAATAGCAAATCTCATTAAAATGTGTATTTAATAATTAAATTTTTAAAACTAACGTTTGTGGATAGACTGAAAGTCAACCACTATTTAAAAATGGGTGAAAAACTATTAGGTTGACTTTCACGTGGTGTTTCTTGTTTAATACTGACAAACCTAAACTTTTTACTGACCGTTGCGCCACCTTTTTAGAGCACACTGTGAATTCATATCTGTGATATTCTAAAATAGGTTGAACACCAATAATGTAAATGATATATTTTACTAGACATATAGATTCATAAAAATATGTGTAAATATATGTAAATGTATAGTAAGCCCTACACTCAAACCCCCGGACTCCCAGTCCAAACAGATTATGTTTTAATTAAAATTCATTACATAAACACCAAACTAGTTAAAATCTAGTTAATTAAAGTTAATCTATGATTCTATAACCTTTAACTCAAAACTTTTTATTTTACTTGTTGAATAATTTTGTTTCAATTGTTTGAAGTGAAGTTAGCATGATCACACTAAATTAAAATAAAATATAAACAAATAAAATTAAAATTAAAATTGCTAAAAATCCTAAATGTAATTCTATTTAATCTCTAATTTAAAAATGTATCATTTTTACCTGAAATTAAATAAAAATAAATGCCGATTGTTATTATCCAACCAGTCAAATGAATCTGTCGTTGCGGTTTTTGTAATTACAGCTAAACTAGAAGAGCTAGATCAAACCTGTAAAAAGTAAAATGAAAGTCCACATGTCTAGTCTATTGTGTCAAAAAATTATTGTAATCACGTGATCACAACACAGAAATTTTTGGGTCAAATCAATTTGCCATGTTTTTTGCCCACCTCGAGGGGAGGCTAGGAAGGGGGCGGGTATGCTAATCTTTAAAGGAGATGTCAAAGACTATGATACAACAACAAAAAAAGTAATATTTTATGCATTTAAACACAAACAACAATGATCATACTAAATTAAAAATAAAATATAAACAAATAAAAATACACTTAAAATTACTGAAAATTTAAACTGTAATTCTATTTAATCTATAATTTTAAAAGTTATCATTTTTAACTGAAATTAAATAAAAATAAATTCAGATTGTTATTAATTATTAAACATTATAGTAAACATTTTATTTTCATTTACTGTATTTGGTTTTATTGAAGTTTGTGATAATATATTTTACAAAACTTTTTAACATACAGTACTTTTTTCACCTAAATAATTTGCTATGTAATTAATTATTACAAAATCATTGTTTAATTGCAAAATTAATATATCATAATTAAATAAATCTGCAATTAATGCGATCATAAAATAAATATTTTTAAGACAACAACAAAAAAGTAATATGTTATGCATTTAAACACAAACAACATTTAGTTATACTATAAAATCATATATACTGTACTTTTATAATGTAATAAACACTAATATATTACCAATTAATTAATTTCTTTAAAAAAAATTAAATTAAATGATTTAAAAATATAGTTAACTTTTTGCGAAGTAACTAGTGTTGCCAAATGCTCACATATTTATTTAATTTTTAATAAATCTATCTTAACAAATCATATAACTAGATTATTTATTCTATGCTATTTATATATAAATGAGATTTTTATTATATAAAAAGATGTTTATTGTAAATATTTCACCTTAGTATTAATTCTATTAACACAATAGATGTTAAAATGTTAAATCAACAAAATTGTCGCACTCACTTTCACTCATTATGATCAAGGTACAATTAGGAATTATTGTAAAACATGTATAAAACTGAAGAAATGATAAACTGATGAAGAGAATTAATTTTTTAAAGCATAGAGATTAATTTGTTAATGGTTAGAGTAGGGACTCTTTAATAAACATGATACTTTTATTCCTGTTAGTTTATAATCAGTTTAAAATTAATTGGTATGTTAATTATTTTTATGTCTGTAGTATGCATACTATGTTGCCCATTATAATTCATTAAACTTTTAAATAAAATTAAACTTTTTACATAAAATTAATAACGTTTTATTATAATATTTTATTAATTCGTATTTTTAAGTTGTATTTTACTAATTATTTGGTCAGGAGTCATGGGCCAAGTACCTTGATACTCTGTGTACTCCATTACAAGAGTACATTTTAATAAAACTTCATGTAAAAATTACATAATAATTGCATAGTTTATTTTAAATAGTTCATGTAATTTTATTTTATATTAATAGGCTGAATTACATTATTTAAAAAATAAACAACTTGTCAAAATTTTTAAACAAAACTTCAATGAATCTCATTAAAAATATTGGCTCAAAAACTAGTTGTCATTATGAATTTAAATACTTGACCTGGGAACCCTACGCATAAATATAATTACTAAAAGCATATGATGATGTTTAATTAAAATATAACGCAAAACACTTACACGTATTCACATCAGTATATTTCTCAACGCCATTATTGAATGCTTAAACGAAAACAATAAAAGTATAAACTGGTAAAAATTACTTTATTTATCAATTCTCTCTCTGGCTCTCTCTCTCTATCTATCTCTCTCTCTCTCTCTCTCTCTCTCTCTCTCTCTCTCTCATGAAATAGAATAAATTAATGTTATGCAATGACAATATATAGTAGTTTATATGTTTTATGTACGAAAATAAGGTTTGGATGTAAGGATTGCCTAAAAAATTGTGATTTAATCGGGAATTTTGTTGTGTATAGAGAGGATAAGAAGGGTTAGAGAATATGACAGATTGTTGTTGTGTTGGGTTAGGATAGTAGGGGTTGTAGTGATTTAGGTATTGAGTTTGGTTTATATTGTTTGGTTCCAAAAATGCATAGTAGATTGAATGATAGTTAAAAATTGATTTAGTTTATTGATTATGTTTAATCTTATTATTATTCAAAACTGCATTTATTGGGTAATCAAATGATGAAACCATTTTGTCCGTATCTATTCTGATTCGGGAGTAATCTTTACCCGAAGAGTCCAACCTATAGTAACCCTTTGGCAATTTCACCCGACGGGAAAATGAAAATGTGACAATATGATAATGAATAGTATCAGGTTACTTAGATACTACCTAGAAACTAATTATTACACAAATACTTTTGTAAATTATGGTGTAATTTAAAATCTGTGACAATAGTTAGATGCCACATTTTGTCTCTTCCATTGAATAATATTGCCAACGTGCTTCCGACAGTAGACCTCTTCGGGTGAGGATTACTCCCGAACCAGAATAGATACGGACAAAATGGTTTCATTATTTGATTACCTAATAAATGCAGTTTTGAATAATAATAAGATTAAACATAATCAATAAACTAAATCAATTTTTAACTATCATTCAATCTACTATGCATTTTTGGAACCAAACAATATACTGTTTTCTATTATGAATATTTTTGTGAAAAACACGAGTGTTATTATAGTTACGGTTATTGTGATTATTATTGCTGTAAAACCTGTTGTTTTGATTATACTTTCGATGGATTGTCGAGTTATTATAGTTGAAATCCATATCATTGCTAAACTTTGAAATCCTTTTGAAGTTTTTGCGAGATTTCCATTGATTTGAGTTGTTTTTCGCATTCTATTTCAGTATTTTTTCAAACATGAAATTAAGTTTGTCTTCAGTTTAAAGGCTCACAAACTTTGACTTCTCGTCGATTTCAATGACAGCGTTGTTATCGTTGTTATCATTTGAAATTTTTTTTGAACTATTCAAGTCTTGTGATGTTTGTTGAGATGTTTGTGGATTATCAGCAAAAGTGGGCGTATTTTTTGCATTTGTATTGAATTGGTTTTTCAATAATTGTGATTTAAACATAGTTTGCAAATTGTTCACTAATTTAATAATATTATCACACTTTTCTGATGACATTTTAGATGAACTGCAAATATTGCTAATTGAATCACAAATACCATTAAATTTATTTAAAGACATAATTAAATTAAATGTTTGCACAAAATGAAAAGCACACTTCTCACTTCCCACTCACTAATAGCAATAAATAAAAATAAATACAGATTATTATTAGATATTATGATAAACATTTTATTTTCATTTATGTGATTTTATTTAAGTTTGTGAACATATATTTTATGAGTACAGTACTTTTAAATTTAAATAATTTGTCATTTAATTATTGCAGAATTATTGTTTAATTGCAATATTAATATATCATGATTAAATAAATATTTTGCAATAAATCCGATCATAGAATAAATATATTTAAACAACAACAAAAAAGTTTTACATGTGACTATTTATAATATAATTATATTTATATCTGAGATTACAGTACAAAAACGGTTGTTAAAAAAAACTTACACTAATTCATAGTTATATTTGCAGCAAAACAATACAGTTTCAACA